CAGGGGACCACGAACACCGTGCAGCCGATGTTCCTAAGAACCGAGGAGCCGGCGGTCGTCCTGGATCCTCCCGTTGGCACGAGTCCTCTGCAGGCTGGTGGAGTCAAGGACCAGGCCGCCGTCGTCCCCGGGTGGGTCGGCCAGAACCCGTGTACCGTTTACAGGACGGTGCTTCTTCAAGCGGAGGATCAGGCAGCTGTGGTGGACGGCCAAACGGAGCCCGCTCCTTTCCAGCAAGTGATCATTAAGACTTCTGAGGTCTCCCCCACCTTCTACCTGGATCCTCAGATTTCTTCGCTGGACCCATCCGCCTTCCATTTGGTCCCTGAGCCTCAGTACGTCACCTTCCCTTACGGGAATTCCTTGCCTCTGGACCACAGCGAGGCCACCGAGGAAGGAGAAAAGGCTTGGGAGTCGCAGGCGGGCAGCTTCTGTTTACCCAGTTTGTACCAGGCAAGCAAGCAGCAGCCCTCTCCCGTGGCATCCGCCAGTCCCAAAAGCCCCGTGGTGGTGCGGCTGCTGCCCTGCCCTGCAGGGGACCGTCCCGAGGTCTTGGATCTGGAGTACGACACCGGAGGTGGCATCCCGGTGGCCTCGGAGCCCTGGGATGCCAGCTTGCAGGCAGGGCAAGAGACCCCCAGTCCCAAGGGGTCGTCAGACGATGCCTTCATCGTGGTGGAGATGGAGAGCGAGACGGGCCAGCAAGGCATGGTGGTGAGCGAGCACCACCAACGCCCCCGGCCACGGACCTTCCGGCGAGGCAGAAAGCTGCCCCCTCACAGCAGCAGCAGCAGCAGCATCTGGCGCTTTAAGTGCCCGGACTGCGGGGTCTGCTACAGCCAGCTCTCCCAGCTGCGCTCGCACCAGAAGGGGCGGAAACGCCGGGGGCGGAGCTTCCTGTGCGAATGCGGCTCTTCCTTCCGGGGCCTGCTCCACCTGCTGCGCCACCAGCTCCAGCACCTGGAGGAAGCCCTCTTTATTTGCTCCACCTGCGGGAAGTCGCTCCAAGGACACGCCGGCTTGCAAAGGCACAACAGCTGCAATCCCGGCCTGGCTCATTTCAGCTGCCCTTGCGGCGTCCACTTCCGACGCTTGTCCCGTTACCTCTGGCATCACGTCAGAAGCCAGCGGCCCGGCTTGCGGGTGTACACGCTGGCTGGGTTCCTCTCCTCCTCCTGAGGTGGGTGGGCAGGTGGGGCCAGCTGAAGGGAGGGGGAGGGTTCAGCAGAGGAAGAGATTGGTTGGCTCGTGGGCTGATGGTTGCTGTCTGATGTTTGTTTAGTTTCCCCGCAATGTAATTATAAAGATGGTCATTAAAGAGCTGAGATCCTGCGCCCCTAATGTGTTGCTTACCTATGGGGAGGGGGGCGTTGGGTGGGATGTATCCTCCAGCCATTTAGCAGGGAAGAAATTGCGTTGGATGGAGGTGGTGGCATTCTTCCTTGGGGGTGAAATATTTACCAGACCAATTGATTGAAAACGAGCCAGCCGTGTGCTGCAGCTGCCAAAAAAGCCAACACAGTTTTAGGCTGTATTAACAGAGGGATAGAATCAAGATCATGTGAAGTGTTAATACGGCTTTATAATGCCTTGATAAAGCCACACTTGCAATGCTGCATCCAGTTTTGGTCACCACGATGTAAAAAAGATGTTGAGACTCTAGAAAGAGTGCAGAGAAGAGCAACAAAGATGATTAGGGGACTGGAGGCTAAAACATACAAGGAACGGTTGCTGGAATTGGGTATGTCTAGTTTAACGAAGAGAAGGACGAGGGGGGACATGATAGCAGTGTTCCAATATCTCAGGGGCTGCCCCAAAGAAGAGGGAGTCAAGCTATTCTCCAAAGCGCCTGAAGGCAGGACAAGGAGCAACGGGTGGAAACTAACCAAGGAGAGAAGCAACCTGGAACTAAGGAGAAATTTCCAGACAGTTAGAACAATTAACCAGTGGAACAACCTGCCTCCAGAAGCGGTGAATGCTCCAACACTGGAGGTTTTTAAGAAGAGACTGGACAGCCATTTGTCTGAAATGGGATAGGGTTTCCTGCCTGAGCAGGGGGTTGGACTAGATGACCTCTAAGGTCCCTTCCAACTTTATTATTATTATTATTATGATGATGATGATGATGATGGATCATCGCACAGTCAGCCAGATGTTCAGACTGGATTTAGCATTTTGTCTACCTATCGAGTCCTTACCAAGGACTTGGGATAGGCAGATGTGGATGTTTGATGTTATTACAGATATCGTCGCAGGATGTAGGCAGTTCCTAGTAAGGCCGCCTTTTGCAAGTATTATTATTATTATTATTATTATTATTATTATTATTATTATTATTATTATTATTATTATTATTATAGTTGTATACAGGGAATTCTCGCCTAACAACTGAACACTCTGCTGCTAAGTTTAACATCAGGTGATTGCAACAGACTTTAGGGTCTCAGTTCCATCACGGTTGTTAAGCGAGGGCCCCTGACCACAGCTTGCGATTTCACTGCAGTCGTCTGCATTGGCTGTGTTGGAAGCTGGCTGCGAAGCATTCGCATGGCGATCATGGGACCACAGGACCCTGCAGCGGTTGCAAGCATGAGGACCAGTCATGCTTTTTTTCAGCGATGTAACCTCTTTTGCTAAACAGGGCGGTCGTTAAGCAAGGACCACCCGTATGTTTTTTATGCAAGTGTTTATAAAAAGAGAGAATTACAAATTATTTGGGGAGGGACACTTTTTCTTATGATAGAAAACAGGGACTGTCTTGGCGACAGGCAGAATCTGCCTTCCTTTTCTGACAGCCTTCCACAGACTTTCGATCCCCGGCATTCTTCATCCAGCAGGTCGTAGATGAGAGAGAAGATAGAAAGTCTGATCTGCATAGCTTTCAGCCTTCCCTTCTTCCCTCCCTCTTTCCCCCAACAAGTAAGCTAACCTCTTCCACAATCTCTCTTTTCTTTTTAATGTTTCTCTTCTATCTCTTTCCTCCGGATTCCGCCCCTCCCTGGATGAAATTAAGCCAAGGGCCACAGATCACTCACGCCAATGAAAAGATGACAGTTTACAAAATGGCCTGTGTCACCCCCTCTTCTGCAAACAAGCTGTTGTCTATATCAGAGGTCCCCAACCTTTTGGGCACCAGGGACCGGTTCCGTGTAGAGAGGTTTTTCCATGGACCGGACGGTGTGTGGTTTTGTGTGATGCCTGCATCCCACAAATGGGGCTTTGCTTGTTTGTGTGGACCGGTTGCTGGCATGCCGCGCCCCGGTACTGGTCCACAGCCCAGGGGTTGGGGAACCCTCTATGTCAGTGGTGGCGAACCTATGGCACAGGTGCCAGAGGCAGCACTCAGCCCTCTCTGTGGGCACGCGCGCTGTCGCCCCAATCCTAAGCCTTCAGCTGGGTTTTATAAAACCTTTTCACTTTAGGCCTCCGCTGCCATGTGCAAAAAAAAAAAGGGTTCAATCAATCAGTCAATTTCAACTTCTCGCAGGAAAAAAAAGATCTTGCAAAGTTGGAATTGATTGATTGAACTTTTTAGTCCCACCCAGTCTGCCATTACCACCGCAACCACGCCCACCCAATGGGCCACACCCAGCCAATGGGCCACACCCGCCCGGCACTCAGTGATGCATAAGTGGGTTTTGGGTTGCAGTTTGGGCACTCGGTCTCTAAAAGGTTCGCCACCACTGCTCTATGTCTTTTTGGAGTACTCATCCACCTTCAGAGTCAATGTCCCAACGGATTAATCGAAGCTTCATCTGACTTAGTGATCTCTAGATAGGCACAGGCTGCAAATTCCAGCTGCCATATTGCAATTGGCACATCTGGAGAACGCTACAGGGGAGAAGAGTGGCTTAGCAGATAATTAGGTTGGAAGTAACGGAGGCCTTTTTTTCCCTGCCTCTCTAGTCGAGGACACTACTTTTGATGCAGAGATGTTCTTGTTCATCTCACAAATTGCGGGCAGAGTCACAACGGGGGCAGTTCGGACAAAATGGCGTTCGAACAATACCTTGAACGAGGAGCTAATCCAACTGGCTACGTTTGCACGACACTGCTGTTCATTCGCAACAGAGCCACCCAAGGTGAAAGCTATTCAAGTTTGGCGTGTTGTAGAAATGCACTTATGTACCCCCCCCCCCAAAAAATGAAATCTCTTATTCTCAATCTGGAGTTTTAAGTGAAGTTCAGCATGGAAACTTAAGGAATTGTTTGCTTGCAAAGAGTCTGCCCTAACATTTCGCTGAATATGGTTCTTGGCCAGGTTGGATCATTGCTGGGGGTTTAATATACACTCCAGGTAGTCCTCAATTAATAACCAGCCACTTCACAGCCATTAGATGTTACAAGGGACTTCCTCCCCCCCCCACCCCAAAAGACCCAGTTCCACAATCCCAGCAGTGGCACACAGACACATGCCCCCTAGTGGTCACATAGCTGCATTTCGGGCTCTTGGCCTTTACGGCCGGTTGGTTGCAGCATTCTGGGGTCACATGACATGATTTAGCAATAGCACTTAGACTTATATACCGCTTCACAGTGCTTTACAGCCCTCTCTAAGCGGTTTACAGAGTCAGCCTATTGCCCCCAAACAATCTGAGCCTTCATTTTACCAACTTCGGAAGGATGGAAGGCTGAGTCCAATCTTGAGCCTGTGAGAATCGAACTGCTGGCAGGCTGGCAGAATTAGCCTGCAATACTGCTCTCTAGCCACTGCACCACCACGGCTCTTTACATCAATTTTTGCTAGAATTTAGTCTTCGGCCGGTTTCCAGCAAACAATGCCCATAAGAACGCATTGATTTGCTTAATGACTCTGGGTTTGCTTAGCAACCACCGCAAAAAAAAATGGGTGTCTTGATTTATGACTATCATGACTTAATTACAGAAATTCCAGGCTGCATTGCGAAGGACATAAATTGCGGACCAGTAAACCAACCCAAATGCCATTGTCAAGAACAAACCTCTGCATATGTGCATCTTTGGGTAGATAGCTGGTAATTACGTTAATTTTTGACAGGGGAACCCCTGACCAAGTTTTGACGTTCAATGTAAGGCCAACTCCCGTCTTCCTGTTGGAGATGCTTTAATTTAGATTTTTGCACCAAGTGCACGATTGGAACTCAAAGCCCCTCCGATCAAGTCGTACGATTCTAAGTAGCCTCGAGAATTTCACACAGATACACCAAATATAAAAATGAAGCCCCTCTCCCCGTGACACGCAAGGGTCCTGGCCTGTAGGCAGCTTGTCACTTTTACTCAGTCACCAAATCTCTGTGGCAAGCTGTCAAAACTAAACCGAACGGCGTCTTCCACCCTGGAGAAGTTACTGGGCGGTAGGTTACCAACTGCTTCCTGCAGATCTGATTCCTGCAACGTCTGGAAAAAGTTTCTGCCCAAGAACAAAGGCAAAAACCCTTCGCATTCCACAGCGCTGAGCTTTTTCTTCCGTTCAAGTACTTACTTCTCTGGCCGTTTCCCTATCCCATAAGTAGTTTCCACCCTGTTCCCTCCACAGTTCAGTTTTTTTTCTCTTCAATAAAGAGAGGAGACCAGGATGTGGTTTCCATCCAGAAGACCCTCCGCATATGTCTTTGCAGATACATTCACCCGAACAATCGTTTCCTCAACTGGAAACTGCAGTTTTTAAGTCCACTGATGCTAAAGGTTTATAAGGTTTGCAGTGATTTGAAGGTACCACGGGATGGAGCTGTAGTAACAGTTTCTTTAGCCTATGTGGAATCCATTTAAAAAAAAAAAGGCAGATGGCCTTCTAAAAGTCCATTTCTTGAGCCAGGGATGGGTAAATGAGATCAAAATCCTCTCAATGTCCAACCTGAGAAGGGGAAAAAATCAAAACAGGGATGACATGTTTATTTATTTATTTATTTAATTTAATTTATATGCCGCCCTTCTCCCGGCGGGACTCAGGGCGGCGCACAACATATTTAAAACCAAAGCATATATACAATCCCCCCCTTAAAACCGAATTAAACCAAATTTAAAGTTGTGTCTTCCAAATTCCTAAAAAACCCAGTATAAAATCCACCCTAGGTCAGGTCCGCTTGCTG